CCTACCTAAAACGGCTCGTTCTAACACGCCCCCACATGTCTATGTCACGATGTGGGAAGATTTGCATAATGCCGCCCAAACACATGTGGTTGCCACAAGCCCGCCGGCCGCTCCTTCCTTGAATTTGCCGGCCGTGCCGTTCTCAAACCCGCCGGCCGTTCCTCACTCTAGCCCGCCGTGTGTGACGCTGTGTGTCTCGTTGTGAAAGCGAAACTACTTTGTTTGGTCTTCCAAAAGAGGACACAACTAGAAATCAGTGGTTAAGTTGTATTTACAACACTGTTCCAGAACACTTCAACCCAAATATTCAGATGTGTGCAGCACATTTTGCGGAGGATGAGGACTGTTTCGGTCCTCATTCTGCGCCGCGCGGGATTTGCATGTGTCTCCATTGTGAGATGGGGAGACTGACAGCACTGTGTCCAATTCACACTCCCTTCAGAACAGCCAGAGCTCGGGCCGCGAGAGGCCTGGATAACAGATGACTCCAACATCTGTGTTACGGGAGCGTCCGGCAGACGCGTGACAGGAGGATACGCTGCTTAGATGCATACGCTTCAGACGCATATGAGGATTTATTCATATAAATGACAGCACATGTTGACGGCCCTTACCATATTTGGAACACACAGCGTCTCCACGACAACAATACTACAGCGAGAATAAAAGTTACGCCATCTTTCTTTGCGTAAACATTTGGGCGGCGTTATGCAAATCTTCCCACATCGTGATGTAGATATGTGGGGGCGTGTTAGAACGAAGCGTTTTAGGTAGGTGTGGCTGACTTAACTTTTATAAAAAATAACTCTTTGGGTTTGAGACTTCGGTCTTTGGAAATTTACGGATCATATATATGCACGAACAGCTTGTAATAGGGTTGGGCGATGTCTACCAAATTGAGAGAGAGAGAGAGAGTGTGAGTGTGAGTGTGAGTGTGTGTGTGTGTCTGTGTGTGACTGTCTGTGTGTGAGTGTGTTTGTGTGTATGTGTGAGTGTGTGTGTGTGTGTGTGCGCGCGTGTGTGAGCGTGTGTGTGCGTGCGTGTGTGTGTGTGTGCGTCTGAAAGGACAGGCTGAGGTTAAACATGTGTGTGTGCAGCGGTGCGGCGTTCAGGAGATGACAGAGCATGCAGTCGGGATGATCTCAGGGCCACTCTGACAGAACGGATGAGGAACGACAGAAAACGCTCTGCCTCTCGAACGGGGGGTGTATTGGCAGGCCTGAGCGCATGCTAAGAGATGATGGATGGCCCAGTCGATGTGTTGTGTCTTAAGAGCCCAGATTCCTGCCAGCCCAATCACGAAGACTCCAGAGCGCCGCTCAGCTGATTGGACGAGCACAATCATTGTGTGGAAACACTACGGTCCACGTTGCTCGGAGACACACAACAATTCTGCTGTGGCTTTATAGGGTCTGGGGGGCGGGGCCAGTGCGTTAAAATATTTTAATTGCGTTATTTTTTCATAACTAATTAATTAAGTTTAATGCGTTAAACTGACAGCTCTAGTATAAATATAACGATCAGTATACTAAACGCACATCGCGATATCGATGCTGAAACGATATATCAGATCCCGTCTGCTCAAATAACACCAACAGCACTCTCGGCTTGGGTTTGGGTTGTACTTCTAGCCGTCGGAAAAATAAATGCAAGCGCTGAACCTGCCTGCAAGACAAAACACGGCGCGAGTGTGAACGAACGAGGCCATATATCAGGATATTCCAGGAGGACAATGGCATATAAAGCAGCACATCTGGGGCACGAGACTAATACACACTACACTCTCCAAACTGCTGACGCCAATAAGAGCGTATTCCTGCGGGACATACTCTAGCTGTGATTACAGCAGGATGAACACAGTAAGCTCCTGCTTCATATGACTTTCTAAGTGACCTCTGAAGAAGAAGGAGTCTGGCGGGATTACATGTGTTACATTCAATAAAGACGCGCTCTCATTGTCACAAACACAACACACACACGCAAACAACCAACATATTCACCATATGAAAGCGCTAGCTGATGGCAGATTATTAGATTAGATTAATAAAATACAGACTTGAGCTCAAATGTGTCAGGTTTTGCGTCTCTAGATATTTGGTCTAATAAAACATCACAGTAAGAAGCACGATTAATTGAAATAAAACTGAAATCATTATATGGCTTTGTCAAAAGGCTCTGATTTAATTAAATACATGTGCTGGATGCTTCACAGTGAAGCACAGCAATAAATATCAGTGTTGTAATTGTATAATGTATTAATAAAATTAAATTACTGAAATATTAATATTAAATATTAATGTTAATGTTAATATTATTATTATATTACAGTATTATTATACTATTTTTCTTAAATATTCATTTTATTTTTGTTATTTAGTCATTTTTATATTTTTAATTTGCAATAATAATAAAACTATTATTATTTATAGCTGTGTTGATATAATCACAACATTTTGGCCAAACTGTACAGCCTTAATTCAACAGTAATATTTCTTATTTTGTTTTGTCATTTTAATATTTTTATTTTGTAATAATAATGATATTATTATTATTATTATTATTGACAGCCATATTGATATAATCACAAAAGTCTGGCCAAATTTGGCAGCCCTACAATAAATCACAGCAAATCTGGATCTTTTTCTTCTTTAAACTGCATTTTAAATCACTTTTGTCTCTCAGAAAAACCACAATTAGAATTTTTTTTTTTCGGGGCTCAAATCGTCCAGCCCTAATAAGAAGGACATCAGGTTTATTCTGAGAAAATTTGTAATATATGACTTGGTGTTGAAAGCACAAAAATAACACAAATATATTTAATAAGCCTGCCTTAAACTCGACCAGCACACTGATGATACTCTCTGTAGACGACTCAAAGCAAGCTCTGATCTCATGTGTTGATCAACAGGTGAGATTCATCAGTGCGAAGGCGAGCATGTAAGCGTTGTTCTGATGTGATGCGGTGTGATGGAGCTCACTGTGGGAACTGAGTCTGCAGTGTCTTCATGCACTGCCTTGTGGGTCGCAGCTGCTCCACGAATCGCCCAATCGCTCGGTACTCGGCTCTGCAGACCTGCATCCGATTCACCGGCTTATCTGCAAGAAAGAAAACACGTGTGTGACCCTGGACCCTTCATAAGGGTCAATTTTTCAAAATTGAGATGTATACAATATCTGAAAGCTGAATAAATAAGCTTTCCATTGATGTATGGTTTGTTAGGATAGGACAATATTTGGCCGATATACAACTATTTGAAAACTTGGAATCTAAGGGTGCAAAAAAATCTAAATATTGAGAAAATCATCTTTAAAGTTGTCCAAATGAAGTTCTTAGCAATGCATATTACTAATCAAAAATTAAGTTTTGATATATTTACGGTAGGAAATTTACAAAATATCTTCATGGAACATGATCTTTACTTAATATCCTAATGATTTTTGGCAGAAAAGAAACATCTATAATTTTGACCCATACAATGTATTGTTGGCTATTGCTACAAATATACCTGTACAAGCTATACTTGTGTCAGCTCCACAATATCGGTTTCAAATCATTTATTTCTAGATTTCTGAATAAATAACAAAACAAAGAAATTGAAAAATCTAATTCATAACCTCTGTAATCAGTGTAACCCTTAATAAAGTGTTTAAAGGCACAGTGATTATCATGTAACAGTCCCTTACAATATTTATTTACCATGGTAAACACTTCATTTTGTTTCTACTATCAAATACATTGATATGTTTCTCTGATATTATTTCATGACAGCGGTGTATAATACCAAGATTTTACTGTAGTAATTAGCAGTGCTGGTTGCCATGGCGACTTTGAATTCTATTCAGAGAAAGTGAAAGACCAACACATTTGCTGGCTAACAAAACATCGAGTGTGTGTGATTTATTTCTAAACTCTTAGGAAAACATCTAATAAAACACATAGAGATATTAAATACTTAGCCATTTAGCAGACGCTTGAATATACACGAGAAGAGAAAATATAATTTTATAATATGTGTATAATCATAAACATGGAGAGCTGTCAACTCACACACACTGACAGCTCATAAACACACTCTCACTCACACACACACACACACACACACAGCTCATAAACATACACACACACCCACTCTCACACATACTCACACTCACACAGCCATACACACTCACTCACACACACTCACTCACTCACTCACACAGCTCATAAACATACACACACTCACACACACACACACACACCCCACAAACACACACACACACACAGCTCATACACACACACACACACACTCATAAACACACTCTCACTCACACACACACACACACACCCCACAAACACACACACACACACACAGCCATACACACTCACTCACACACACACTCACTCACACAGCTCATAAACAGCTCATAAACACACACACACTCAGCTCATAAACATACACACACTCTCACACACACTCACACTCACACAGCCATACACACACTCACACACTCACACAGCTCATAAACACACACACACACACACACAGCTCATAAACACACACACACACACAGCTCATAAACACACACACACACACTACAGCTGTAACGTTACTGTACCTGCGAAAGCCGCGCTGCTGCCCGACACCGAATCCATCATAAACACCCCAAAAAATGATTAAAAACACTTTAAAATCCAAACAACACCGTAAACACTTCAGACTCCGCCGCTCACGCTACAGCGTCACTTCCTGATCAACTCCCGCGAACGAGTTCAAACGTCACATAAGAGTGAAGGCGCTCCTGATTGGCCGGAACGATTATTGTCATTGAGTAAAGCTAAAGCTGATTGGAGGATTTTGACGCGACTCTTGCTGTTGGAATGAGGAGAAATAATTCATGAGCGATTCATTAAACATTCGACATTATATGAAGAATAAGTCATACTTAACGTTAATTAACTTGACAATTGATCTCTTTCAGATTCAGTTTCAGTCAAATTACAAGTGCAGGATTTTGTTTCTTTACTCGTCTTCTCATCTGTATAAAAATAATCATTACATTTTCAACTTGAGGGCGATATTGTATCTAAATGTACATTATGAGCATAAAGATTGTGCCACAGCAATACTTCTGGACAAAATTTTAACTTTTAAAGGGAAAAAAATGCTTCGTGATATTTGATATTGACTTCTATAAATTACAAAGTGACATGTTCAGTGTTTGATAATCGAATTGCATTTGAAGTTTAATTTGGTTATAAATACTGACATATTTTCTCACTCAGTTTAACAGTAAGTGTGGTTTTTGTCTTTATCATAGTTTGCTCTAATGGTCAATGCATTGCATTCCACTCTTAAACCCCTCACTGTGTTAATGCATTCCCTCTAGTTTCTTAGTTTCTTTTTCTCTTCCAGTCTTTCAGAATTGTCTGGAGACACACGGAGCATGCATGAGTCGACACAGACTCTTTTTATGTACTGTAAGTTTCAACTATTGCATTCTGACTGCATGCTGATTCACTATTATACACAATATTCACAGTATAAGACTGTAATTTCCTTGACATGAGGCACCGTGTGCAAATGACCAAATAAACGTCACCCGAGCTGGTAAATTGTATTTCAGCGAATGAAAGCCAGTTCTGATAACAGCCTGGCCTAAATGTGTTCGGTGAGTAATCCAGCGTCTGTAAGCAGGCTCGGCGCGTGAGATACGAGAGCGTGACCTTTGATTCCTGAATCAATGAGCGGTCCTCAGCGCTGGGGTCGTTTCCGCAGGGTCCAGGACAAAAGCAGATAGACATCTGGGGTCCTGAGGCGGCGTGAGGCTGATTGCTGTGAAAGCGGAGGTCAGGTTTAGCCTCGCAGGTGTCTGAGCATCAGGGATAGAGGAGGCGGCGTGTGCTCTGGAATCAGAGGATCAGTGTACTGCAGTGCTCACGAAGATAAAATCAGAGAGTGTAATGGCTGTAAAAGCGGATCAGAGGGGAGTGTGACGCTTGGAGGAGCTGCTGCTGCTGTGTGTGTATGTGAGTGTGTGTGTGTTTGTGTGTGTGAGTGAGTGAGTGTGTGTGTGTGAGTGTGTGTGTGT